AACGGCCAGTTGTTGGATTTTAGAGGTTTTGAGGTTTGAAAACTCCCGGGGGAATTCCTTCCTCCTTAGAACAGCTGCAATCAGAGAGGATTGACTAAAATAGAGGTTCAGTTCTGGGGGTTTGAGAGATCCCGCAGGCATCGTAGTACCCCACCCTAAGAGAGAGAGGGAGCCACGAAATTTGAAAATTCGAAATTTTTGAAAAGTTATCAGGGGAGCATGAAAATCGAGGAGGTATTCGCTGAAATTTGAAAATTCAAAATTTTTGATAAGGTATCAGGGGAACATGAAAATCGAGGAGGTATTTGCTGAAATTTGAAAATTCGAAATTTTTGAAAAGGTATCAGGGGAACATGAAAATCGAGCAGGTATTCACTGAAATTGGAAAATTCAAAATTTCCTAGCTGTAAAGTCAGGTGCTGATGGACGTCAGGTAATGTATAATAATAAAGTAATGAATAATAATAAAGAAGATACAGTTACCGAGTAATGCAGACAACCCAGCATTACGTGTGGCGCACTCTCTCTTCGGGGGAGGTACTTGATGCCGGTGGGGTCACTCAAATCCCCATTACTGAGCCTCTACTTACTCAATCCTCTTTGGCTGGCATTCTGCCGGCTCATAGTGAATTGGTAAATAAATATTTTCCTTCGCACAATATTTTAATTAAATACCGATTCATTTATAAAATCATTGATTAAACAAAAAAAAAACTGTTCAGTTATGACTGCAATACTCGGTGGAGGGATTTCGGGACTGTCAGCGGCATTTTATGCCCTGGAGAACCGAAAATTGGGCCCCCTGGTGCTCCTGGAGATATCGGATCGACTGGGAGGCTGGATGAGAAGCGTAAAATCAAAATCGAACGCTATTTTTGAAAAAGGCCCAAGAACAGTCCGACCATTAGGTCTCGCTGGTGCAAATACCTTGGCAATGATCGACGAGCTCAACCTGGCAGATAAAATCATCCCGATTTCATCGGCGCATTCGGCATCAAAGAATCGATTGATTTACGCCGATAATAAATTGCACACTCTACCGAATTCCTTAATGAGTTTATTCCGAGTGAATTCCCCGTTTAATCGACCACTTTTCACTGTCATTTTCGATGATCTGGCAGCGGGGAAAGGAGCCGCCGGGGATGAGAGTCTTTACAGCTTCACGGAGCGAAGATTCGGAAAGGATATCGCTGATTATTTAATTAGCCCCATGATGTGCGGCATTTGCGCTGGTGATGCGAAAAAAATTAGTGTGAATTTTTTATTCAAAAGTCTCGCCGAAATGGAACAAAAATACGGATCGATAGTCAAGGGGTTGTGGAAGAAAAGGTTCATGTCCTTCTCGTTTTAATCACAAAAATATTCAGTGCACTGATTTTCTTGCAAT